TCCAAGTGCTGAGATTAAAGGTGTGACAACTAGTCTTTTGTTGTGTTGTTGTTTTGGTTTGGTTGGAGATCAAATCTGGCATTGCATGTGCCAGATCAGTGCCCCTTGGACCACTTTAAATGAGACAGCCTATGTCACAAAGACAATGTGTGCTCAGGGTTCTCCTGGAAGAGTTCTTTTTAGGTGCTGGGGTTTAAACTCACACTCTCCTGCCTGTTAAGCAGATGCCTACCACACCCCAGCTGCACCCTCAGATTTCCTCTGTGACAATTCTTAAGGGAACTGTCCTTGGACTTTCAGGCTTACAATGTAAGGGCTGGGGTTCCTTGGCTTCTTGTAAATATTGTGAGAAGGAGATGGCAAACCTGCAGAGAGCCTCCAGCTGGCCCCACATAGCCCCACTGACTGGAAAAGGTGCAGGAACAACATTACTGATAGCTGCAGGCAGGACTGGCAATTTTCAGCTATGTGGACCCATGGGGTGGGGTCTTGTACCAGGCACAGAACATTGAAAACAACTCTCTCCCTGGTATTTGTGAAACAGCTGAGGCAGGGCCAGTCTCTCTCCTAATCCTCTGACCCTCAAAGGGGAGACAGACAGATAATCTACTGGCATCTGGGTAGGACAACTACACAAAAACACCAGCCGTCCCAAAGAAGTCTCCTGTCCAGAGGGGAAACCAGGATGCCGGGGCCTGTGAAGAAGGTAGGCTGGGGGCTGCAGGCAGGCCAGGAGAGGCCAGGCCATACTAGAGAAAGCATCGGGGCAGGCAGTGGGTCAAAGCGTGGGTAAGGGTGGGTAAGATCCAAGAGGATGAACACATAGCTTATGTACCATGGCTCCATAGAGCTATAGGGAAACTGGAAATCTCAGGGCAGGCAGTAGGTAGCGGGGAGTGATGCTGCTGAGCTTGTAATTTGAAACTGGGAGATGAGTTCCCACCCAGGCTGACTTTTGGGTCTTTTTACATCTGCATTACAACCATCTATTTGCATTTCAACTGTCATACAGCATAAATGAGCTGTTGTTATATGCAGCCCACCCATAGCCCTTTCTTCCCTGGCCCTCAGGGAATTTGCTACGGCCAGGCAAAGGAGGAGAAGAAATTACTCCTTGAGACTTGACAGTTAATGCTGTGGAGTCATTGGGGGACAGCAACAGCCTCTTCATTGCACCTCTGCTGTTGTCAGTGGGCTTGGGGGAGCCTGAGATCCAGTAGGAGGTCTGAGACAAGGGGTGCAGACATCTTCTAGGGGTTGTTATATCAGCCCCCTAGGTAAGGACCCACTGCCACAAAGTTCTTACTAAGAGTTTCAGCTGCTTCCTCCTTCCTTTTCTGGGTTCCACTGCCCCACAGTAGACTCTTGGGATCATGTTTCCTACCCAGCCTGGGACCCTGCTTGGAAGAAGCCCTGGGCCACAGCAGTCCAACAACAAACATCATCACTGTGTATCCCTGGAGAGCAAGCCCACCTGCCACCGGGCTGGTATGTGGACCCTTCAGTGCCATGAGGAGACACAGAGCAAGGATACCATGCACTTACATCATCAGGTCACAGCCATAGGGACAGCCAGTGACTGCCCCCATGCTACAGAGCCTGGAACAAAGGGATCTGGTCTTTGCAAGCTTTCTTCCCTAGGTCAAATCTGAGCCAGACCAGTCACCATGAACCTAGCCAAAAATCCCAATAAGACATGTTCTCCCCTCAGAAAAGGAGTGAGGTCAGGTGGTTTTAGGTCTCTTCAGTAGTTGTTTTATTGCCTTTCTCCAGATCTCAGATATTGGGCCAGACCAACAGCCTGTGTCTGGCATTCCTGTCCCGAAGAGGCGGAGCCCTGAACCTTGGGGCTCAGGCACGCCTTCTCTGACTCTTCCCTGGACCTGAATACCTCTGAGTTCTGCCAATGGCAAACAGAAGGGGCACAAAGTAGCACAGATGAGACATAAGCAGATGAGACTTTCTTCCTGAGCCACAGCTGAGGATGGAAGATTGGGCTACAGCCCTATTTGGGACTGGATGAGGCCTGATAACCTCAGGACTTCCAGTTGGGGCCTCTGGGTGACCTCTCCGCTTTTGACAGTCCTCCTTTCTGTACCTCCCTATGCTCTGGAGAAGCCGAACCCATGGAGAGGAGGCTGAGACTCCACAGGGAGACTCCGGGCCACCTACTGGAGGCAGGTAGACATGGAACCCAATGAGTGGTTCTTGTAGGGCTCTAAAGTCTCTAGCAGCTGTGCTATTTAGGCAGTGCTCACCAGAGGCTGGGGGCGGGGCAACCCTGCAAGTTCCTACAGACGTTAGAGACAGGCTTCCAATAAAGGGAGCCTAAGAGAAAACTGGAAGTAAGGTTAGCATGGCCTTGACCCCTGCAGCCAGCTGTAGGAAGCAAGGTCTGCATGATACTTGTGGGTCCCAGCCAGAGCAGGAGTTGCAGCTGGCAAACAGTGAGGATGGCAAGGATTTTTCTGTGTCAAGCCCTGAGTATGTCTCCATCCCTCTCCTCCTCACTGCATACCTAGCTCATGCCTTCTGATGCAAAGCTTTTTCCCACTGTCCCCCACTCTGCAGGAGGTAAAGTGGTAGCATGCGACCAGCAGGTTGCTATTAGAAGTCACAAGGCTAGCTTGTGCAGTGAAGTGTTAAAGACCTGGTACTCAGCCCCCAGCTGTCTTTCCCCCTTCTGCAGTGACCCACAGAACTGCACATTGTGACAAGTGACCATGCAGCTCCAGACCCCTGCTGGACAAGTAGCCCAAGTCAGAAATAAGATTGTGCTGGTGAGTGGGGGGGGGGGGGGATGGAGGGGAGTTAACTTGTTACTGCAGCAGAAACTGACAGATACATTGTCTTTCTCATTTGTTCTGAAACACTGGAGGAGAGGGAGGATTAGATGGGCCATTCATTCATCTGAGGTCACTGAGATAGTTAATAGCAGACTGGACTTAAACACAGGCTCTGTGTGTACACACAGCTCCTGTTACCTCTCCACTGGACTGTCTCTAAGATCAAGTGCAAGTGTCCACCCTGGGTCTCAGCCCACCTGCATGGCTTGATCCCTGCATTGTTCCTGTGCATTACTTCCTGGTCTACCACTACCTGTAGGTTTCTGCTGCCTGGCTTCCATGGGCCCCAGGCCTCACTACCAGTCTCCCTGACGTTCCACAGCTCAACCAGAGGCTCCCTCCTTCCCCAGAGCTGACCTGATCCTCCCAGCCCATGCTCCTTCCTCAGCTGAACCTGCAGGTCTGAGACCATGGGTCCCATGCTGGCATAGCACTTTCCCTTCTCTTGTGTTTTATTCTGTAAAATCAAGAATGGATTGTGTTCTGAGGTTCTCACTCACACAACTGTCTCTAAAATGGGGGTTCTGGCACACTAGGGTAGGGGTAGCAACATGATCCAATTTTGTGTGAGAAAATATTAGAACTTAACTGGGTGCTGGTGGCTCACACCTGTAAAACTAGCTGCTCAGGAGGCTGAGAGCTGAGGATTGAGGTTCTAAGCCAGCTCGGGCAGGAAAAGTCTGTAAAACTAATCTCCAATTAATCACAGAAAAAGCCAGAAGTAGAGCTGTGGATCAAGTGGTAGAGTACCATATTTGAGCACAAAAGCTTAGAGGCAGAGCCTAGGCCCAGAGTTCAAGCCCCAAGAACAGCAAAGCAAACAAACAAAAACTCCACCAAAACCTTACTTCCTTATCTCTACCTTTAGGAAGTTCTACATGGTTATAGCTGTTTTAAGATGTTCAAATCAAATAAAACAAAACACTGTTGGCTCCTTAGGACAGGGACCATAGGTTATAGTTGATGCTCCCAAATTCAATCACACTTAGTTACCCTAGATGGACAGCACACAGCAGCTGACAGGATACAGAGAGGAGAGGGGGCTATTTCGGGGGCAGTCCAGCCTACAGCAAGGCTGGCAGAGGCTGGAGGGAGGAGGAGTGAGTGAAGAAAGCTCAGGCTGGGAAACCTGAGGAACTTCTGAGCAGGGAAGGCAAAGCCAGGTCACAGATGGAGTCCTGCATCCCATTAATACAGCACCTTCTGCTTGGTTGAGGAGGGAAAGAGGCAGCAGGGTGGGTCTTGAGAGGAAGACGCCATTCCCATACAGGCCTGGCCCTTCCTCCCTCCTCTTCCTTCTCCCTCTCTCCCTCCCTCTGAGGATATGGAGTGTGGCAGAACTGGGGGAAAAGGTGACCCAAGGGTCCTGCACCTCTCTGGGAACATCTTCCCCTGCCTAGAAAACACTCATGTCCTTTGAGTGAGCACCTGGCATGGAAAACAGGGCCTAAATTGCACTTAAATCAGGAATCTGCCTTCCTGTTAAAGACGTGGCTTATCTAGAAGCCTCTAAACTGGTGGCTTGATGGTGACCCATCAAAGGTGGGGAATACAGTTAAGGTCTGTCATAACTTTCTTTTTTGTTGTTATTTGTTATACTGGGGTTTGAACTCAGGATTTGCACTGAGTCATACCCCAGTTCTTGTCTCTCTCATTATTTTCTTGAACAAGGTCTTGCTTGCCTGTAAGCCAGCCTGGATTGTAATCTTCCTATTTACACTTCCTGGGTGGCTGGGATTGTTTGAGATAGGAGTCTCTGGAATGATTTTTACCCATTTTAGCCTTGAACCACTCCCAACTAGCTAGGGTTACAGGTGTGAGGCACCAAGCTTGGCCTGACTTTCTAAAATTTGTGAATGCTTTTTAATGTACACATATGATTAGCATGAAGATGGTATCATGTGCCTTCTAGATAAATGCCTGCCTATCAAAAGTGTGGGCTCAAAGATTTGCACAGGGTGTAGCTGGCAAACTGCAATAATTTAACTTTTTGTGGTCCTGTTTATCCACAGAAAATAGAAGAAACAGGGTGCAGGCTTCTATTTGCTAACTGAGGTTCTGGGAGCCCAAAAACTCTTAGCCATCCCTCCCAGGGTTGCACAGCCCAGGCAGAGGCAGTGAGTCTGGATGGGGCCTAGTGTTCTGGGGACTCACCTCGTCCTTGTCCACCACCTGGATGAAGAGGGGGAGGGCGAAGCCAACCTGTGCCAGTTCGGTGATGGCCACACTGTACTCAGAGCTGTTGAACTCTGGGGCATTGTCATTGATGTCGATGACCAGGATGTTGAAGGTTGTGGTGACTGTGGCATCAGACGGGGTGCGGTCGTCGTTCAGCTCTGTGCCCTGCAGACAGAGAACAGTTGCCCCAGGGTGAAGGCGGCCACAATCACAGCCACAACCAGCATCTACGGGGCACTTTCTCAATGTTAGACACTGTGAGTCAAATCAAACTGCCCCAACTAATCCCTACCATGGCCTCAGGAGGAAGATCTCATTGCGCTGTCCTCAAACTGCCCCAACTAATCCCTACCATGGCCTCAGGAGGAAGATCTCATTGCGCTGTCCTCCTATTAGGAAACAGAGACTTAGAGAACGTAAGTAGCTTGTACAAGGACACACCTAGTAGGTTCCAAACTCAGGCAATGGAATTACAGAATTGACAAGGAAGTGAGCTGGGAGGGCAGATTTTGGGTTCATCAAGGGGTGAAGGGAAAGTCTGTTCAATTTGGCAGCTGGTAAAGAGAGGCCAAGGTTTTGTGCTAGTGGCTGATCAGGGCTCACTTGAGGGCTCAGGGTAGGCTCAAGTGGTAGGTAGAACACTTTCCCAATAAGAGCTGAATCCTGAGTTAAGCTCTAGTGCTGCCAGGTGATAGCTTATGCCTCTAATCTTAACTATTTAAGAGGCTGAAATCCAGAGAATGGTGGTTAAAAACGAGCCCAGGCTGAAAAGTCTTCACAGCTCCAAAAATAATCAGCAAAAGGCAGAGCTAGAGAAGTGGTTTAAGTGGTAGAACTCTAGCTGACTAAGCATGAAGTTCTGAATTTAAATCCTAGTACACAACACACACACACACACACACACACACACACACACACACACACACACACACACACACACACACACACACAGACTTATTTGAGCACTTCCTGCAAACACTATTAGGCCCCAGGAAGGCCTGGATTGTACTCTGGCAGAAAAATGGAATAATCTAGACCGTTAGGCATCTACACTCTACCCAGAGCCCCAAGCCCCAAAATACCTGCTCCCAGATCTGACCCCAAGCATTAGTATCCATCTGTCTGAATGAGACTCCAGAAGAGTCGTCTCTCACTCACCCCCAGTGATTCGGAGGCCCCACCCATATTAGAGATCCAGCTTCACACTTTATATAAAGGCAGAAATACTGAGCACAAGGTCCTGTAGTAAGGTGGTGGCAGTACTGGTACTAGAAAGGGGCTTTCTGGAGGGGACACCTGGCTTTGGTTGTGAGGGGGACAGGACAGGAGGAGGACCTGGCAGGGGCGCTGGAGCTGGGAAGGGAAAGGCTATGTTACTGAATCCTCTGGCTGACTTACACCTGCAGACAGTAAGAGGAGGCGAGAGGAAGGGGCTATGGGCATCCATGGCCAACAGGTCATCATTGCCACAGGCCTTCAAGGCTGAGGGAGAAGTGAAGGCCCAGTCAGCTACCCATCCTCCCAGGAGCATGGTAGGGCCTCCTTCCCCAGAACCCTTGCTTTGCTCTCTCCTCACTAGTTTGTCCCTTGTGGCCCAGGTACAATCCAGCCCCTGAAATGAGCTTCCCAGAAAATGGCTCTGCAAGTTGTTGATTTTAATTAAAGCCAGGTACGAGTGAGGAGTGGCTTCAGGGGATGGGGGCTACAGCACCATCACACTTTCCAGGTGGGGCCCCTAGCAGCTTCTGCACCCTTCCTGATCACTGCTAGGGAAAGCCAGACACTTAGAAATGGGCCTAAATCTCAGGCAGGGTCAAAGACAACAATTCAAGGTGACTGTAGCTGAGAATTTAGATCCATGGACAAAGGAAAGGAGCACCTGAAATCCTCCTTTGGGTCTAGGATGGGATTGGAAGTTCAGCCTGGGTGAATGGTAGTGGTGGACATGAGGAAATGAGCAGTCTTGCCCTGATGATGGCTGTCCCCTGCCCCTGGGGCTCTGATTACAGCCCCTGGTTTGGTACCAGGCAGAGGGCAGGAGCCTATACGCAGCCTTTCCTTCAGCAGCTGGGCCTTTACCTTCACAGTCAGGATGAAGCCGTGGCTGTACAGGGGGTTCTCCCGGTCCAGCAGGCCATTCAAGGTTAGTGCTCCACTGATGTAGTCCAGGGCAAAGATGCTGTTGGTATTTCCTGCAAGAGAGAAGCATGTGGGTGTCATGGAGTTGGGGCAGGTGGACCTCGAGCCAAGTGGTGATAAAAGATCAGAACCTCTGTGGATGTTGGCTCAGGGGAAATGGAAGGAACTGGCCATCAGGGGTCCATGCAATGCAGTTAAGGCCTCCAATCAGAAAGAGTTAGTGACAGAATCTCTAGGGGTTCTTTAACAGCTAATACCTTTGTGGTTTCCTTTTTAATACAAAGGGCAGACTTCAGGCTCAGCCTTCCAAAGGGACAGAGACTAGCCCTTATGCTTATTTTTTTTATTGTGAAAATACCGTACAGAGGGGTTACAATTACATGGGCAAGATAATGAGTTCATTTCTTATCAAGCACTGTTGCCTCCTCCTTTGTTTCCTCTTCACATCCCTTCCCATCCCCTCCTACCCGATCCCCCCCACCAAAGTTGTAAAGTTCGTTTTTCAACGTAACAACTTGTACATCTCATTGTTTCAATGGGTCCACCTGTATCCCTATTTAAACAATTTGTTTTTTTCCCTTCCCCTCCACAAATTATACCAACATCAAATACAGTGAAAGCAGGGGTTATACCATGGGGGAGGGACATACAAAGCAACAAAGAAATCATCTTATAAATATGTTAGAAACAATAGCATGAAAGAAAAAAACATTTGAATACTTACCTTGGGGTTCATTTCCCTAACTTCAACTTATCTGACCTTTTCTGCTTGACTCAGACATATACTAGTTATTGCAAATAAGAGAAACCATGGGACCTATGTTTCTTTGGGCCTGGCTTACTTCACTTAATATACTTTTTTCCAAGTCTTTCCATTTCCTAATAAATGGACAATGTCATTCTTTCTGATGGAGGCATAGAATTCCATTATGTATATATACCACATTTTCTTAATCCATTCATCTACTGAGGGGCATCTGGGTTGGCTCTATATCTCAGCTATGGTAAATAATGCTGCAATAAATATAGTTGTCCTTATGCTTATTTTTATGGTCCCCTCTCCTCCCTTTCCTTCTGTTCTATACATTCTATTTATGGCAATGGTTTAATGTAGTTTTAAATGATAAATGGTAGACACATAAATATATTTTAATTTTTAAAGTTAAAAGCACATATTTAAAGAATTGGTAAGGGGTTGTTGGTGGTGCTCAGGTGGTAGAACATTTGCCTAGCATGTGCAAGGCCCTGGATTCAGTCCCCGATATTGCAAGAATCGTAACGCAAGCTTCAAACCCAAGGCACCTGTAACCCCTTTTACTTCCCTGCTGACTGAAATCCCTGTTTTCTCTATACTCATGCTCTCCCTCTGGCTCTCCTCTTCACATCCTGTCCTCCCAGCCCAGCCAGCCTCTCCTCCTCCTCCAGGAAGGTCATCCAGCTGATCACTATGCTCCCCCAGTGCTCTGTATGTGAATCTGATCTTTATGCCAGGCTTAAGTTCCCCACCCCCAAAGATGGCAATTGTGTTGTGAGGACAGCTACTTGCCAGGCCACCTGTCTCTCCTTGCCCCCTCCCCCAACCAACTCCCTGAACCAGGCTGAGAATATACTGGAAACTCTACTCAGTTTGCTTATTCATTCACAAATACAAGAGCCCCAGGAAGGCTGTCCTGTAGCCAGGCCCCAGTGTGGCACTGTGGACACTGATGTCCAGGTCCCAGGAGTTCTGATGCTATCTATAGCAGCATCTGCAGCCTGGAGCCCAGCACCAGGAACCAGGTACCTCTGAGGTCCAGCAGGGGGCACTGTTCATAGATGAAAATGCTTACTTATTGTGTGACCCTGGCAACTTACTAACCCCTCTGGTTCCTTGCTTTTGTCATCTGTAGGACAAGGGTAATGATGGCCTCTACCTCATGAATTTGTGAAGATAGAATGAAGAGAAAGCATGCAAACACTGGCTTGAAAGTACTTTGTGTTCTCTTGGGGAACAGGCAGAAATAGGGACAAGGAAGGACAGACTGATTTCATGAAGGAAAATGAACATCCAAGCCTTCAGCACACAGACCCAGGACTGTACCTCCCTCATCCTCCCTGGCCCCTGATCCTCCTTGGCTCAGCAACACAGGAATCAGCATACAGTAAAATGAACAAGGAAGTGTTTTAGGCTGCACAATGGGGCTGTCCTCAGCCATCCTGTGCTGAGCTGTCTGTCAGGGCTGGTCAACTAAGTTTCTTCCATTGGGGTGGGTGCTAGAGGCCCCCTTCCCCCAGCCTCTTCAGGAATGTCGCTCATACTATGGGCTCTAGGGGAGAGGGGGTATCTCTGATTTAGTATCCTGCCCTCCTGCTTGAGGCTCCCTTCCATAGCCATAGAGGCCTGGCCACCTTCTTTTGGGAATATGTTTGTAGAGTGGGGAGGGCAGGTCCAGGCACAGGAGAGTGATGAAGAGAGTGTTTATAACAGCTAGAAAAGAGACTGTGTTCTGCTCATTCATTCATTCACTCACTCATTTAACAGTTACAATGTTTCTGCTGTAAACCAGGAACACATTGCAATTGGGAGCCAGCTCTCAGTCTTCCTAGCGTAGGCAGACCAGGCCTGAGGTGGGATACAGCAAGGGAGGGTCCCATTCTGGGGGTAGGGCTGGGTCTTCTAAGCCCTAAATCTGCTTCCCCACCCCCAGCTTGGCTTTCCTTCCCAGGCTCCTCAGCCTATCATTCTAAGTTTCCACATAAATTTATTCTTTTCAATAAAGGAGCCTATCAAATGTTTAACTAAATGTGTTCAATTTTTTTATCTTTGTGAGATTTTTTTCCCCTATAAATCATTCACAAACCAGAAGGTCCCTGCTGAATGATGTGCTTTTGTGTTTCACTGGAAAAATGGAGCTCTCACCCCTGGCACACTCGTCCTGTTTCTCCACTTAGCACCTGCTCATTGTCCACTCCCCACCCAAAATCTGTCCCCAACAAATAGACACCCCTCTACCCAGCTAAGCACCTCCTCTAACAGACTTACTGGCAAGCATCTCCAACTGGTACACAACTCAACAGACTTGATATTCTCCCCAATGTATGTGTGTGCAAACACACTCACACGCAGAATTTTCCACCTTTTTATTGTTATGTTTATCTAGAGGGTGTTTTAGATTCCTGCCAGACACAAATGACAAACTTCCAAGGCTAGCAGGCAGAATGGGCTACATCTGGGCCCATGATGAGGTGCTGAGTTCAATGCTACTGTCACCATGGCAACAAGAGCACTCATTAGGATGCTACTGGGCACGGGCGCCCAGAGAAGGGCCTTATGCCCTAATCTGGGAAGGCCAGTGGCACGTCTCATTCAAAGATTCCCTGACTAGGTCATCCTTCTTTCCTTCAAGTTCATAGTGAGCTCTCCTGTGTGCAAGGTTCCAGAGCATCAGCAGAGAAAAGGAAAAGTTCCTGCCTTTACCTTTCACTGTGAGGTTGGCATTGATGATATCTCTACACTGTGGAGGGGAAAAGCATTTGCCAAGCCCAGGGCCCCAAAGGAAAACAACAGAAGTAGGAGCAGTTTAAAATTCTGCCCTTGGGAGATGGACTGCATGGAAAAAGATGTTATGACTTAAGACAGTGCCTGGCACACTGCAAACTCTCAACAAATGTAGGTGCTACTGGTACAAGGTCATGCCATGGTGGTCCCCTCAGCTCTAAGAACCAAGCCTGTGCCTCTGGCAGTGTGGACACTGGGGACACTGAGTCCAGCCCACACTTCTCCCATCCAGGGCCATGTTTACAAGTTGGCTGTAGGAAGGTCAAGACCTTAGGTCCTGTGGGAATGGTAGTTGTCATACTGACCCCTGCCTCCTACCATCACTCACCCTGAGGCAGGTCCCCATGCCCTCTCTGCCTGCCTTGCTCTTCCTTTCTGGGAGCTGGGTGCCTGGCTAACACACACACACACACACATACACACACACACACATACACACAGACGCCTTTCTGCTGTTCTGGAAACTGATCCCATTCTGTCAGTACTCTGTGCTCAGGTCCCATGGGGGCTAGGGAGCCATGGGAGTGCGGTGGAGGGGTGATGCCTTTCATCTGTTCAGTTACATGTTGAGCAGCTGCTTCCCTTGGGGAGTCAGGTGCTATCCAGAGTGTGTGGGGGGGGGGGGGTGGAGGGCGTAGAGGGGGCTGTGTCCTTAGTGCCCTGGGTAATGGGTGATTGAAAGCATCACTGAGGAGGAATTCAGTACTGATCCTGTTGGGTCTCCTAGCCACAGCCATCCCCTCTGTGGGCCCCATTTCCATTTGCAAGAGAGAGGTGGGAAGGATGTGGCTAGGGTCCACACAGGCAAGAAACGATATGGGGTCCTAGTCTTCCTCCCCTCTGTACTAAGAATGGTGTCCACCACCCATAGCTCATGTCCCAGGCCCTGAGCTGAGCTGTACAATCAACCTGGTAAGAAGACATCCCATTTTCTGTGTGAGGAAGCAGGCTCTGGTATTAAACTTCCCAAAGTCACATGACCCGTGGGGGCATTTGCCTTGGGCCATGAGGTAGGGCATATGCTGAGGCCAACAAGAGGTCCTCCTCCTTCCTAGAGTTTCACATGTTGCTGAGGGCAAGAATCCTATGCAGACGTTTCTCAAAAGCCACCAGGTTAGTGGAAAACTGTTAATGATCAGGGAAATGCAAATCAAAACCACTGTGAGATTTCCATTTCCATTTCCCTCATCAGGATGGCTAGTAGCAAAGACAGGGCAGCAATGTCAGGGAGGAGGTAGAGAAGGGCAGTTCCCATACATGGTTGGTGGGAATGTCAACTAGCAAATTGTTATGGAAAACAGCATCGAGAGTCCTCCCCAAAACCTAGAAGAAGAATATCCATGTATCTGGTCCAGCTCTTCCACTTCTGGGCACACCTCCAAATCAAGTAAAATCAGTGCCCCAAGGAAACCTCTGCACTCTGTGTTCATTGTAGCACTATCCACAATAGCCAAGATAGGGGATCACTCCAGGTACCCATACCTGGGGTGGAAAACTAGCCAGCCATGAAAAGAG